AAAAAGGGAGAAAAGGTGTGGGGAGAAAGGGGAAAAATGGGAAATAGGGGGGAAAAAGGAAAAAAGAAAGGGAAAGGGAGGAAAAATGAAGGGGAAAAATGGGGAAAAAAGAAGGGAAAAGCGAGGGAAAAAGAAGGGGGAAAAGGAAAGGGGAAAAAGGAAAGGGGGAAAAGGAAGGAAAAACAAGGAAAAAAGGAAGGGAAAAAGAAAAGAAGAAAGGAAGGAAGGAAGAAGGTAAAGGATGGGGAGATGGAAGGAAGGAAGGAGAGGAGAGGAGAGGAGAGGAGAGGAGAGGAGAGGAGAGGAGAGGAGAGGAGAGGAGAGGAGAGGAGAGGAGAGGAGAGGGGAAAAAGAAGAAAAGCAAGGAAAAAAGGAGGAAAAAGGAAGGGGAAAAGAAAGGGAAAGGGAAAGGGAAAGGGAAAGGGAAAGGGAAAGGGAAAGGGAAAGGGAAAGGGAAAGGGAAGGGGAAGGGGAAGGGGAAGGGGAAGGGGAAGGGGAGAAACGGAAGAGGAGAAAAGGAAGAGGAGAAAAGGAAGAGGAGAAAAGGAGGAGGAGAAAAGGAAGAAAGGAAGAAGGAAGAGGAAAAAAGGAAGAAGGAAGAGGGGAAAAGGAAGAGGAGAAAAGGAAGGGGAGAAGAGAGAGGAGAAAAGGAAGAAGGGAAGAAGGAAGAAGGGAAAAGGAAGGGAAGAAGGGAGAGGAGAGAAGGAAGGGGAGAGAAGGAAGAAGGGAAGAAGGAAGAAGAGAAAAGGAAGAACAGAGAATGAAGAGGGGAGAAGGAAAGGAAGAAGGAAGAGGAGAAAAGGAAGAGGAGAAAAGGAAGGAAATAAAGAAAGGGAAAAGGAAGAGGAAAAGGAAGGGGAAAATGAAGGGGAAAAGGAAGGGGAAAAGAACCATACAACCACAGCTCTGGAACAACAGCCCTCCTTTATTCACCCTCTCCCCTCCGAGCAGCTCAGCTCCGCGCCCGCCCATCCCGGACCCCTCCTGGGAAGCCGCAGCCGACGGGCCCAGAGTATAAATTAAGGCAAAAAAGGAACTTTTTGGGGCTCCTCACTTGGGGAGGGGTTTCTCACACACATAGTAGCACTCGAAGGTGCAATAGACATCGTTCCACTGCCCCGAGGTCCAGACGTGGGCGCAGTCCTCGTTGAAGCCCCTGTTGTTGGGTTCGCCCTCCTTCCAGAATCTGAGGGAGGAAATGGGGTTTTGGACGGCCCCATATGGCCCTATAAACTGATTTGGGTAGAGAAATGGGGAAACGGGTTTTGTATAGCCCCATATGGCCCTATAGACTGATTTGGGTGGAGAAATGGGGAAATGGGGTTTTGTATGGTCCCATAGGGCCCCATGAACTGATTCGGGCAGAGAAATAGGGTTTCGTATGGCCCCATATGGCCCTATAGACTGATTTGGGCGGAGAAATGGGGTTTTGTATGGCCCCATATGGCCCTATACACTGATTTGGGTGGAGAAATGGGGTTTTGTATGGCCCCGTATGGCCATATGGCTCTATACGGTCTCATGTATCTCTTTATGGTCTCATATATCTCTGTATGGATCAATATGGCCCTATATAGATTAATATGGCCTTATATGGGCTCATATGGCTCTATATAGCTCAGTATGTCCTCATATGGCTCTACATGGTCCAATATAGCTCAATATGGCCTCATATGGCTCTATATGGCCTCATGTATCTCTATATGGTCTCACGTATCTCTGTATGGTCTCATATATCTTTATATGGCCTTGTATGGACTCATATGGTCCAATATAGCTCAATATGGCCTCGTATGGCTCTATATGGCCTCACATATCTCTATATGGCCCCATAATATGGCCTTCCATGGTTTCCCATCCTAACCCTGGCCCTGCCGCCGTTCCCCCAGCCCAGCCCCCCGGTGCTCACGTGAAGGAGCTGCGGGAATCCGTGCCGTCCACCCACTGCCATTCCCCCTCCTCGTTCTCATCCGTTAAACCGATCCAGAAACGTTCGTTCCTCGTCCGGAACATCACGAAGTTCTGTGGGAGGGGGAGGGGGGGAGGGGAGAGGGGCAACG